CCAATAAACATGGTTATAAATGCATTCCCATTTCAATCAATACCTGACAGGACTGACCACTATTGACCAATGCAGACCAATTAAAGGAGACCTTGATATGTTTAGTGACCAATGGACTCTTTGTCAATAAAATGACTGCTTCCTGAGATGCCAAACATGATTGGTCAACAGTGTAATTGTGACTGGTCAAGCATGACCAGGCTCAAATAGAGATTTCACTGGTATCTGTCTGAATAGGCAAATGATTGATGGCTTTATAATTGACAAGATTTTGATAACTATATCAGCCGGGAAGTTAGCAGAGCGGACTCCTAAGAAACAAAGGAATCCGCACCAAATGGGGTCCGCTGCACAATCACGTTAATTAATACAAAATTAGAAAGCGAAAAGACAGAATGATTTATTGTTTGTAAAATTAACTGTTTGTATCGCTATAAGCATTTTCTTAACACAAATACTGTGCAGCATGTTGAAAGCCTACAGGGGAAAATAAGTCCACAATTAAGAATAGGTGAGAGAATGCCTTTGATTTTTTCCCTTCAAAACAAAAATCAAAATTTAGCATTATATTATTATTATTATTTATAATATTTGGTTTAAAAAAAAATTGAAACTCCAGTTAAAATTCTTATTCAATATCTTAACAATTTTTTCATTAGAAGGCCCTCAAGGTCGGTAAATAGTTGAGCCCCTAAACCTCTACTTCCTTACTGCCAGACGTCATTTGGGTATTCACACTTCTGCAAAGCCACTAGCTTGACCTAAAAAGCCCTTTTAGGCTAGCAGCTCGGCCAGTGACTCGCCTGCAGCTGTCCTGGGCTATGTAGAACCCTGGCCAGGGAATGCAGGGTTCCTACTGTGATGTTAACTATTTGCCTGACATTGATACAAGCCTAGAGGAAATGGAGAATAGTTTCGCAGCATCTTACAAACCATCCATGGAGCGAGGATCGGTTTGCTCTTCTCACATGCAAGTATACTTAAGCACCTGGTTCGTTACGGCACAAATTTAGCGCTCGACACGACACGCTCTCATGCTGAGTTGGCCAACACATCATACTGCCACCTATATTAGAGACTGAGTAAACATGGCATTACTCCACAAAGTTTATCAACAAACTAGGCTGTTGCAACCTATACCAATTATCCAAGATTAAACACTAAGGAAAAAAAATAAGGGGTAGAAAGAAATAAAAATAATTTCTCCATAAACATATCTGGTTATTTTCACATCTATTTATTTAGATGGTAGTGTATTTTTAAAGAGATTTTTTATAGTATTCACAATTGCAAATTGTATTTATTCAGGCATTTTTATACTGTTCCTGATAACCATTAATGAATTCTGTGTAAATTTATACATTTTGTGGCTAAAAACTTAGTGCGGCAGAACTGTGCCTTGGGAAATTAAGCACCGACTTCTTATGTGTCGATCAGTATTTTTTTTAGCACCTTTAAAAGTAATTATGTTTTTTGTTAAAAGATGGGGCTTAAAAAGCTGCTCTGAATGGTTCATGTTCCCAGGGTGTTGTTCATCTTCTATATGTATGTGTTATTGTTATCTCAAAATTTCATGAATAAAATTGAAATTAATTTTAAAGGAACAAATGTACCACATAACAGAGAATAATCCTTATTCTTTAACATAATGTACAAAAAAAAAAAAAATCCAATTCAATAATCACTAATTAAATTTAATAATTTAGTCATTAATTTACATCTTCACGTTGAAGAAAGTCTTTTCTTACATTTTTTTTTATATAAATTATCTTAAAAAAAAAAATCAATTCAATAATCACTAAATAAATTTAATAATTCAGTAATTAATTTACTTCTTGGTCGCTTTTTTTTTAACATTTTCTTTAATGCTCGGAAGTTGATGAAATCACCCGAACAATTAATAGATGCTGTGGATACTGGGTAGTGTAGCTATTGTTCAAAACTGAGACAAAAAGAAATTATATGTGCTTTTCCGTAACATATTACAAAAAGGCGCATTAAACCACTTTTTAATTTGCATAAATTAATTATAAATCAATAATTTAATAGAGAAAGATCGCACGATTCTAAGAAAACTGAAAACTGAATTAATAAACTATAGAAGGTATGAAATTTTCCACAAGTTTTGAAGGTCAGCATATTCAATATAATTTACTTTAACTTGTCGGAGGCCTATTATACAAACAATTTTATAAGTGATATATTATCAATAAATTAGTCAATCACTGATATCGAAATCCAAAATTTAGTGCATTAACAGTAATCATTTTTATCAATATAAAAAATTGAAACCATGGAACATAAATGGAACACTAAATCACATTTTCATAGGGTTTCAATACATTCAGATACTTTAGTACAGTAGTGTATATCCTAACATAAATACAATGCATTAAAATTCAAATAGTTCTACATTTAATACTATTTTGTCAAAAATTGAGGGTAGCTAATGACGATGGATATATTTACTTAATTTAAGTTCAAATGTAGTTGGGTATAACATGGTAGTTAAAGATGATTGCTTTCTAATTCCAGTGTTCTGGGTTCAAATCCTCAGACACTGCATATTTTCTTTCACGACAAAATATCATTGCCCATCGCCAAGCTTCATATAAGACTTGGCTTATAGAGCATCATATTCAATTATTTCAAGAGGGCCCCTGAATATTAGCCGACCTCCTGGGATAAGTCGCAAAGGGGTTTTTTTATTGATTCTGTCTGACATGAACTTTGTATTTTATTTGTATTTTATGTTAAGAATCTTTTGCTACTGAATAATTTTTGCTGCAAGTAAATCAATCCCATTTGTTAATTAAAATGTATTGAAATTATGTTTTATATTTAAATTTAAAGATTTGTTACTCTAGCATTGCCACAATTAACATAAGAATAAATATCCAATCATTCTAAATCTGTTGCTTAAAATTTCACTATTATTAACTAGATTCTGGTTTGCCAAGTGGTAGAATTTTAGGCATAGTGACAGATTAAACTCTTATGTGAATAACTTGTTAAGTAGTTACTTGGAAAACTTGATTTGATTTTTATCTTAGCATTTTCCACTTAGGGGATCTCTCAACATGAATACGACTAACAAGCGACTCAGCAGTAAAGCTCCCATCTTATAATCCAAGTTTGCCCAGTTCCAGTCGAGGCATGATCATTTATGTTTTTGACAAGACAATTGTCTTCTCCCAGTTGGGTAACAGGTAGACTATGATCTTTTATTAAGCCTTGAACATATCTGCTCTAAAGTAACTGAAAGACAACTTTGACCTCCAATGTGTAAAAAGGACCACAAATTTACAATCATTAAAGTAATTACAAAATAAATGATCAAATCCAAAACATAAATAAATAACCATTATTACTTATATAGCAAAAAGACACAAACTATTCTTAATTAACTCAATAATTAAAATTCTGTGGAAAAAATGAGCAACCAGGAATTTGCTTAAATAAATATTTACATACAAATAAAATTAGATAATAAATGGACGTTTGTAAAGCAGATAGATACACAAATAGTTTTAATTGGGAATTGTTTACTCGGAAATGTAGGTTTCACAGGCTGCAAATGGCAGACTTGAACGGCAAACGATAGTCCATCAAACGTCTACCTTCCTTGAGGTATCGAAGGCTGATTGCTTTGATTAAGAAATGAGGGACTGCAACAAAAGGAGGGACGAAGCACAGGAAGGAAGCATGATCAATAGAGAGTTGCATCGTCTTGGGACATCTATGAATATCGCGCAAACGAGCCTACCAAATCTAAACCAGCTAAACCTCAAGGTCTCCAGCAAGCAGGTCGGGGTGCGGTAATCAATAACGTGAGCAAGTGACTCAACAGCTGCTAACACTAAGCAGAACACATCATGTACCCGTGAAGACGAGTCACAAATCGCAAAGTTCTTCGTCAATCAAATACACTTGGCTTATCGGGAGCATTAGTGATCGATATCTCGGCACGATTTTTATCGTGGAGTACTTTTTAAAGATTGGTTTGGTGGTTTTTGCTTCTTTATTAGTGACTTTTAACCACTACCGAAAGGATTCAATGCATAATTAAGCATCATAGACATCTATATCCTACTAATACAAAACAAACCTGTCCGTATTATATTTTACACTAGGAACAGACAGATTTTTACAAATTAATTAAGTGTAGCCATTGGTTTTAGGATCTAATATTGCTATAACTTTAGTTGAATTATGGTTATTTTAATTACAGACGTATCCATTTGGTTTAAAAATTAATCTGACATGTTTAGATACTGACATATTATAAAAAAAATTATGAAAAATAATTTGTACAAGGAATATAAATAGTGTGGACTACTTTAGGAGAAGTTCAAAACTGGCAAGATTTCTAATTACAGTAACTGAAGGTATATAGGGACATTTAAATGTCATACAGGCATCCTTGTTAATAAGCTGTATTGTAGGTTGGACATGTTAATGATTATATTGAGTAATAGCTTATGTAGGATAATTAAAATTCTTGCTTTAAAGATTCCTGTCTGTAGTAAAACCTGAAAAAAATCCTTACAAAAATTCAATTAAAACATTGAATTGATCAATAGAGAAGAATTAAGTTGTCAAAATCCAATAGGATGAATCAAAACAGTTTATTTTTCAATAATTTAGATGTTTTTTTAGTATCAACAAAATTTTAAAAATAAACAGTATGCAGAAAATAAAGGACTGTTAATTGTTGTGTTAAATGTATTATTTTCAATCAAAAAAAAAAAAAAATAAATAAAAATTGAAAGCTATGCCTATATGCAAAAGTAAGCAACTTAATAGAATAAGAAAAACATCAGTCATAGATAATAAACTTTTTTTTTACTTGGCTTTCCCCAATCAACTAGGCCACATTTACTGTAAACCCTATTTTTCCTTTTGTTATTTAGAACTCCAAAGCAGTCTGGTCCACATAGACAACATAAAAATTCCTTAAATATATTTACAAACAAAAAAGAAACAGAATTTAACAATACCTTTTCATTCTTTGATCTCGAACAATGATTGCGTTATCTCCGTTATAGTCAAATCTGGAAGAGATAAACAAAATAATGGAGGAGTTTAATGGAAAGTTCTAACAACACAACTATCTGCTACGAGACCTCAATCAACAATAAAAGAATCACCTGAAAAAAATCAGTCGTTTGACAAGGTAGGAACAACTAATAATGATAACATTAAAAAAAATAATCTTCATAAGGAAATAGTGTATGCTATAATTCCAGTAGAGGTCCCGCGGGGATATTAGCCCATCGCGTTTCTCACATGACGAGCCTACCCTCTGATTCACTGGATTAAAGTAAATTTGCATAATATTAACATAATTAGGCTTCCCTGGAAGATCTTCGTTCATTTTTTTGACAATTTAGCTCCCTTAACAGTTAATTTAGTGACTAATAATACGGCGGAAAACTTTCTGTTTTGTGGGACACCATTTATACACAATCAAACACACTTAAAGAACAGAAGCAATCTACTACATTTTGAGAAAAATGTAACAATAATATAAATTATTATATTTCATAAATATATACTTTTCAATACAAACATAATATTTTTTTTGTCAGAGATAGAAAAATCTGTTATATAATACTCTAGTCTATAACAATTAACAATAGCAATGAACAGTTTGTATATTTCCATATTGCAAGACTTCTTAATAAATAAAAATATTTAAATAGCGTATAAATTCTCTTTATGATAGACCACCTATATAACTTAAGCCATACCATTTATTTTCACATTCCAATTATGGTGTTGCATACACATTCCCAAATTTAGAAATGTATGTCGATTAGTGAACCAAAATGAAAATGGCATTAATGATACAAAGAAGGAAATGTAACTATTGGTTATAATACAGGCAGCAAACATCTCATTTTCCTTTCAAAAATCATCATCGGATTCAACTTTTCGTCTGTATTTTAAAAGCCCAAGATCACTTTAAAGACCACGGTTCAATGAATTGGATATAGCAATTTAGAAAAACCCTAAACACAGAAGGAAACACCAAAAACACTCAAGTTGTCAAAAATAATCTGTTACATTTCTAAGAATATTTCTTTCAAATAAATTTTATTTAATTCTGTTATTACACTAATAATATCGTTTCTATTTTCTTTCCATAGAGCAGCAATCAATTTTCGAAGTTATTAGTCTGAAAGAAAAGTTCATTCTTGATGGGTCTTACTTAGTCTAGATAAAGTGATTCAAAAAAATATAAATTCAGAATTTGGTGCCTTAACTGAATTTTGAAAGCTTGATCTCACCAGATTTTAAAGATGTACTGTACCCTAAAAATGATAAAATATCATAAAATAATTTTGAAATTAAAAAACTCATTTTGCAGTAGCATACTAATTATCAGCTTGAGCATAGAAACTATTGAATTTTAAAATGTGTACCCTGATTTTTATACTGGATAAATAATGATAAAAATAATAAACACACTTTTCGATGTAAAATAATGGGTAAACATTTTTCATTTCTATGTTCAATTTGATAATTTTTATGTTACTTTAACACAAGTTATTTCAAGGAGGATTTAATGATTTTTATGTTTTGTATTTTTCATGGGACAATATATCTTTTAACAGTACACATAATTCAACATACCTCTAACACCATCAACATTCACATTAGCATTTATACCATATCATTTTAATAAAGGTCTGATTATGAAACTCACAAAAATCAATCTATGAATATTACATTTAATTACTACAAAATGAACCTTTTATTATAGTATTATAGTATGGTAATTTCAAGTTGATTAATTGTTCGCTTTAATTCATTATGAATAAAGAAACATGTAATTGAATTTTAGCTTTGAGATCATATAGCTACTGCATCAACATAATAAAATAACAAAATAAAAATATTAATAATGATAATTAAAAGAGATGTACTCTAAATATTTGCACAAGTTTATAGACAATGTTCATAGAAGGAATAATATAATTTACATATTTTACCATATTTTAAAGTCTAATAAAAGGCTTATAATTTATTCTATGATTATTATTCTTTAGAATGTTAATTAAAAAACAACATAAAACTGTCCATTAAAATCAAATGAATTATGTATAGGAATATTGTACTCAATTGCATTAGAAAAATGTAGAAAAGGTAATTATTGTTTCATTTCTAGCGTTTCTTTAATCTTTTTTTTTTACTTTCACTTGTAAAAACATCTAAAATATCATACAGATATTTAACCATCCTTTAACACAATGCCTATACTATAAGTATTTTGTGATCATCTTTTTAAAGATTTATTTCTCCATTTTTGGGTATGATATGTGAATTGACGTCAACATAACCAGTAACATTTGAAAGGTAACTTTTTATAGTGTGGACAAGGTATTTAATATAGTAACATCTCCCAATTACGTACCCCTCCGTCTGAACAGAGTTCGTAATTGAGAAAATTCATAATTCAAAGAGTTCAAATTTTTATAGCGTCTCTGAGTGGTAGGGTAGGCCTAGGCCTATGCTACAAAGCTCAGGGCTAGGTAGGACCAAGCCTTGCCATGGGATGAAAATTTTGTCACGAAAAATCACTTTGATTTCTGAATGAAAACATGACCAAATAATGGCCAAAATGAGTGTTATTATTCTCTTTATAAAAATTGCGAATCCATGTGAATAGCGCTCACAATGAACAAGAATGCACAGCTCAAATGTAATATATCTCAGCTGAAAACGATCGATATTTCTTATTTTAAATTTAGTTTTATGTAACTTTATTGGTTTAAATGTTTTCTTTCTTGGCTAATATAACATTTTACATATTTTGAAGCCTCTTAAATACAATTTTTAGTGTTTTTGTAGTTAAAAAACAATTGTTCGTAATGATGTCATTGTCACAAATTGGGTTCGTAAAATCGAGAGGTCGTAAGTGGGAGATGTTACTATAGGGTCATTCCATGTCAAATCACCCAATGGATTTAACCACATATTTTTTGATTTTGATGAAACTTGGTGTACTTGTTTAGTGTGATCTCGCAGCACGAAATCTCAAATTTTAGGTCAATCGGTTGAGGGACTCATTAAAACACAATAAATATTTGTGGTTACATAATTTCTAAATGTATTATGCACCTGGCAAATGACTAACTAATAATACACCATTATACCTCATTTTAAGTTTCTGACAGAATAAAACAAAATAAAACACTAAAAAGAATGTTTAGAACTAAATAAGAAAATAAAACATTCAATAGAATGTTCCGAAGTAAATAAACAAAATATAATATTAAATACAATGTTTCAAACAAAAACATAATGGTTACTGTAACTGGTTAAACAAGTATAAACAATATAAAGGCATTACCCCTCTATGTCTTAAATGCATCTTTTATTAAATAAAGAAAATACAAAATTAAAACTACAAGAAAATACAAATATAGTATGTTACTAATACAGTCAAAATAAGTACTTCCCATTATTACATAAAGGAATAAAAGTAAAACAAACAAAAACAAAAGATAATTAACTTGTCCCAATAGTGAAATCCACACTATATTTCCACAAACTTTAATCATTGTTTGACTATGAGCATATTTATAACACTCTATAATGCTAATGATTCTCTCCACGGTAATAGCTCTGCTATGATAGCTTTTCAGTGCACATATTCTCGTAAAAGTTGCCTATAAAAGTTATAGTGTTCGTCTGCATATGTCAGACATCGTTGGGTCTGATTGCCGACCCCAGGGATCAAACATTTACTACTATTGGTAGGTAGGGGGTCACTGCAGCAAACAATTGCCACAGAAATTTGCCAATAAAAATAACTTCAGACCTGTAATTAAGATTTTATTGCTGTTAAGCTTAAAAAAAGTAACTGTTTTTTCCCCCTTCAGTTACAAGCAAAAAGAAATTTGAATCATAGCCGAAAATCTAATGGTTATTTTTTTATTCTCAGAGATTACAATTTAGATATGATTTAACTTTTTGTTTTTTTATAAAACTAATGTCAGAAAAAATAAAATCAATATAAATTATAATAAAAAATAATATTTAAATTATATGAACCATTATTAGCATAATTTAAAAACAAGTTTAATTTCACTCTAAAAAAAACCCCTCTTTTAACAAAATTTGTCTTGCATTATATGTGATTTGAGTGATGTGATCACATAGTAAGAGATTCCGCTTAAACACAACAACTTCCCAACTCTAACAACTCTTTTTCCTCTCACCAGAGAACCAAAATTATCACAGATTTACCGTTAAGAAGGGGAAAGGGTTTCTCTGAGTGTATTTTGGCTGGAGACTGTTTCTCAGACAAGTGAGCTGGCTAAGAGCCAAAATTTAACTTTTTGTTAAATAACAGAACAAGGCGTGTAATTGATGAAGGAAAGAAAGATTTTAGATCACCGAGATGAGTAATAGAACATTAAACCTTATGAGCTAAATTATTTGAGCCAGGAAAAAAAAAGACTGGGGAAAAAAAAATCTCAGGACATTTCAAAATAAGTGGGAAAAGAATTTAAGACATCAATTTTAGCTCAAATTACATATTTTTGAAAACTAAGTAAACATATTGTTCCTCTGTTTCATGGTATTTGGTATACATTTGTACCCAGGGAATGCTTTTATTCCATTGAGTTTTTTTCTCTCGGTTTTAACTAGCTCAGCTGTTCATTTCAAACATCGTCATAAAATATTGATAACTGACCAGCTTGAAATGGCTAATTTAGATTACACTCGCATGAAATTTTTAAACTTCAACCAGTCAACTGAACAGGTATTAACGATAAGCAATGATTTTTATGTCAACACATGAAATCCAATTAACATAGAGGGCGTGCTTCGATATGAAGTTTCAGAAACACATTACGCAATCAGTAAGATGAATCCGCTACTATTTCAACGTATTATGTTGACGGAAAACTTGAATATATAATGACAAATACCATGCATTAGTCTTGCGATATTCAGTTACTCGCATTAGATCAAATTTTTGATCTTTCATCGCTTCTTTTTCTACAAAAAAAATTATCAAGTACATGTCCAAGCTAATGAAGAAAATAAAGCAGGCAACAAATTTAAAATCCAGATACATCTCGGTGTGAGAGATCATTTGCGTTAATTTTATTCCCTGCCTTCAATTAGCATACATGCACATTATCAACCAATAAAAAATGTATGTGAACACAAACCATGGAAATGCTATGATAGTAATTAATACACACAATTAAAACACACAAGAGTATACGATTAATTAATACCATCTGCTCTATGGCGTGTCAATGCCAATATCTGGAGCACTAATTACAAAGACCAAAGCTTCCCATTTATGAAAATTATGAACAAAACATTTGAATGACAATGGTACTCTTTTATACAATAAGAATACAATATTTATTAGAAAAAAAAAAAAAAACTTAGCTTTGGTTTCGGGTTACTTTAAATACCATCTGTTAAATAAGTTAAACAGCAATAAGCCAGGAGATGACTAACAAAAGAAGGTTCATTAATTATAGAGATTATTTCCTTGTAAAACAAAGGAATCTTATAATCCTCTAAAAGTTCCCAGAGAATCGTTGACTGACAAAATTAAATAACTAGCTATGGTAAACAAGACGTCTTTTTTTATATGAACAGCAACAGCTTTATTTAATTATTTACTTTATTTAAACAACACACAAATCTACTTATAATTTGTTCAGAAGTAACATAAGCAAATATTATATTTTACTATTGAACTTTCAATAAGTCACTTTCAAGTGATAATACATAAAAAAAACCCCCCAAAAATGTTGATGTCTTTATTATTAAAACACGTTTCTTAAAAACAACTTTAATATAAAATATATTGTATTATATATTCTTCTTTATACTGTAGGCAATTTCAGTACTATTGCACTGATTTTCAAAGTGGTACAGTTTAAACATAACAAAAATATACAATATATACAATACATTAAATTATATACAATCAATCATAGAATATCAACAAATATTTCAAAACTGACTTGTTTCATACACATGATATAAACTACTTATATTTCAATTAAACGATATTATTAAATAATTTGATTAAAACCAAAAAAAACCCCAAAAAAACCTAATTTTATATTCAATTAAAAAACTAATGAGATATACCAATGCATGGATAGGGATGCAAATAAGGATGCAAGTAATTATTAGGTTTTACAATGGTATAACTTTATAGCGCTGAAATATTGTATTGAATAGTGTGGTTGGAATTAACCTGCCAGGCAAACTGTTAACCCTAGAATGCATGTCATGGTCAATAGGTTAAAAGGAAGAGCTAGCCTAAGAGGTGACTGCAGGAAGTAAGACAGGCATAAAGTACCCCTGGTCACCTGGCCACACAGAAGATCCTTCCTAAATTCAAACACCTTGGCCTTGATGTCAGATCAGAATCATAAGGATATGTATACATACATCATTTCATGGAAGGAAAAAAAACCCAGGAACTTCAAAATTCAATGAATACTGCAACCTATTATTAAAATTTACAAGTTCTACAATGTTATAAATCACAGCCAATTCTATCATTCCATTTGCCAAGCAAGTGAAGTTGTTCCAATTAGCACTCGTCCCAGGAAAGCGCTCGGATAATTCCATGGGAACTGGGAACCAAGTGAACCTGTTAGTCGATAACGGCTGGCCAAATCTCTCATGAATCTCGACAACAGATGTAATTGCTTAAAGACATGTCAAAACATGTAACAAAGTATGGCCGAATATTTGTGTTATTTATCTGATTAGTGCTGCTACAATCATACAGTACAGAACATCATAGCCTGCGGTAATCCTTGTGCGCTCCAACTTAGGTAGCGTCAAGAGTCGGTTGTAATGCATAATTGGTCAGCGAGTCCATTACTTACAATCAGAGGGACGTTTACGCATTATCATCAAAATGTACGTTGCATCAGGTGTTGTCGTAAACATTACAACATGTGCTAACGCTATTTACTGTTTTTCCCTTTAACTCTGGCAAAACATTATCTGCGATAAAATCAAGATGTAAAATGCTTGACAATGACAAGTGGCGAAAGCCCGTCAATATTTGATAAAAAAAAAAAGCAAATCTCATTTACAAAAAAAAACACCAAATAATATATTGATTAAATTCATTTGTGTGTTTTTTGACTGATAAAATCTAACTTGGGACACCTTGATCATTAGTACTACTGGATACCTTGTAACGATTATTTTAATAAGCTTACTAACAATTAATTTTATCTGAATATTAATGACAAATTTTCTTCATTTGTTTTGTCCACTCATCTTTGTAAAACGTTGGGTAGGAAGTAATTTTAAATTTACAGTACAAAATTATTATTTCAACAAGTGTAAGTATGCGTACTTTGTTGTATTACAAGATACAAGAATTTGATATATTTAATAATTACATACACAGAGATACTAGGTGATATGTCATGAAAATAACAGCTAAATATGACAGACATATATTAATCAAATAAAGCTACAAAAAAAATCATGATTAGAAATCGTGGAGGTAAACTAAGTAGACATAAGCTTTGTTGATGTGACGTAGTGTGCCGGAGGTTCTAAACATTTCCTGGTGGGCCACAGTCCGGTGACCAATTGTGCGTGACAGTCACACAGATAAAGATACTATCATCATGATTTACACAAATCACATCCCTACCAAATTTGATAGAAAAAAAAAAACCAACACAAGAAGATTAATTATCAATGTGATTTAAATAATTCACAGCCTTTGAATTTTTCCACTATCATCACATTGAAATACCAAGACTAAAGAAGATAAAGAGGTTGTTTCACAGTACCTGAGTCTAAATGTCACACACAAATTTATCTTACAGCGACTAATTTCGAGAGAATGTAGTAGAAATCCAATGGAGGAGGTCTGCACATCGAAGACGTTTAACAAAAATGGACTTAATTGTTGGTGATATTTGTAAGCTGTTGGAATTAAAACCAAGGACAGGCTCATTTACTAAGATACTATCATGCTGCCGTTTCATTGGATAAAAAGATGCATATCAAGTATGCGGACATTTTTCTTTCGCCTTATTAATTGCGTTTTTAACTTGAGTGTATGCTTTTGTATGTCTCTTTCATATGCATATAATTAATTATTCATCTTTCACAATGAAATACTCTTGAAACCACTTTTTCCCAAAGTCTGTTAGATTTCCAATATTTTTCAATTACATTTTTATCACACTACATAAATAATACTATCTCTTCCTAAATGAATGTGAAGGTGATGGTTCAGGCAAACGATTAAAAAGAAATTCCATAAAATCTCATTTTAACACCCAACGTCCATTAATCAAAATTATGATCCTTTGTTTTAATGAGATTTCATCAAGGAATGAACGATTTTAATTAATCATCTATTTTTACTCATCATCATTATCATCAAAGCATCAATTTCACAACTTTTAATCTACATTTTTTTATATTCCTTGTTTATCAAGGTTTAACATTATATCTGATTGCTTTTCATGATTAAATGCTATTCAAATATTCTATTTTTGTTAACCTTGAATACCAAGAAAATATTTTCGAAAACAAATAAACATTTTTTCAACTTACTCTCAACATTCATTTTTGAAAGAAATACTTTAAAGTATCCTTTCCCTATTCATTGGATAAAAAAATAATTATACACAATTGGAAGCATTTCCATTCCATGAGGATTACCCCTGGCCATTATACTAATTTCATTACAAACTAAAATTGTCCAGAAGAATAGCCACAGATTACAAGTTGCAAATTTGGAAGTTGCATTAACTTTCCAACCATCCCAATTATTATATTTCTTATCTATAATTCTATTTTCTTTTTTTTTTCTTTTCCGCAAAGAGAAAGTATAATTTACAAACAAAAGAAAAACAAGAAAATATAGCTATTGGATCCAAATGAAATTACTTTAATAAGTTTCTTTTCTTCCTGAAGTTCGAAATGGCTTGTAAAAAAACAAAACAAAAATAGAAGGAATGAATTACTCTTTGCTGTTCAGAGTAAATTAAAAAAACAATCACGCATAAACTATTTAAAGAATTTCAAATGCACGACTATTTTTCACTTAAAACTAATACAGTTATTAAAAACATGGAAGTCACGATAAGCCGATCTTATCTATGATTATAAATTTATCAAACAATAGTTTCAAATTTAAAACACTAAGCTTTTGGGAAACTGGTTTGTGTAGGGTGTTGTAGTGTTGGATAAGAAAGGTGGTATCTCCTCATTGCTAAATTTTCGGTTTTTATTAGCTGTCAGTAATATAAATTTATACGTACTTGCAAAGGTTTGTGTGTGGTCAGTAATATAAATCACCATTACATGCAATTTCATATTTTCTAATAGAAAATAGAATATTGTATATTGGCAGAAAAACACATTAATTAAGATGCAATTAATCTACAAACAATCCTAATTAAGTCCTTGTTGAAAAAAAGAAGCAATAATGTATTACCAACAAAAATGTTAATTTGTGGTTTTTCTTATTCATAATCATCAATTACACTAACGTTAACAAAATACTGTGAAAAACAGTTTGATTAAATATGTACCATACCCACACTGATAATGTTGTACACCTTAAAGAAAACAATAGAGACAACACACACACAATAACCAAATTACCATTATTTTCATCATCTCTGCCTGCCCTCATAAGGTCAACTAAATGGTCTTAATGATAAACTATACAGATTACATAACTGCATTGATTTTGCCCATATTAATCAATCGAGCGATATTAGCACGGACACTTGATCGCTGCAGCGTAGCATACAAGCCGTCGAAATTAGACACCACACTAAATTCATTAAATTCTGCTGATTAACAACAGTGTCTCTTAAAGCGTTTCTACTTCTTTGTGTCCAGTCATACAAATCGTCTATTGTTATGTAAATTATAAAATAACTGTTAACTGTCACTGCATTAATTAATAGACCTTTAGTATGTTTGTCTGCCATTAGGCAGGACATGTTGTGATACGAAAATTGTAATATGCAATTTTAGAGACACAAGTACATGTTCCTTTATTTTTTCTCGTTCCCTTTCTTTATTGGCAATAATGCAATATGATCAATCTCATTTTTATTAAGGTAACTGTATTGTCGTACGTTTTCTCTTTTGTTCGATGATAATGATGGAAAAACACCATGCTAATGCAATGGTACAGTATATTATTGTCAATGGCTGAATTGTTTTCATAAATTGCCAAGGAAAAACATGGAATAACCCTCAAGGACAATATCAGCAACCTTCCTGTTGCAACATATTACAGAAAAATACAAAAAAAAAAAAAAAAAAAAACAATTTTTTTGTCAAAAAAAAAAAAAAAGCATTTTGTTAGTCAATGGATGTAAATTAATTCTGTATTTTAAATAGGCTTTAAAATTGTTGATAAGCAATGTAAAAATAATTTGAAATAAACTTAAAAACGTAAAAAGTTAAATACACTTTGCGACACTTATACAAGATTGGCGATAGTATTCTCGCTACATAAAATAAATACAAAAAAATAAATAAAAATTTTTAAAAAATCCCAGAATACTAATATTAAGTTTCTTTAGCATAGACTAAATAGATGGGATATATAGCCTAGGGGTTTGAATACTGGGAAAGAGCTGAGTGGCACCTTCTTTGATGAAGGAACTGGGACAAGGCTAAATGAGTTTGAATACAGGGGAAATAAACTAGGGAAACAGCATCATTTCCCTTATTATTATTTACTTGAGAAGCTAGAATAGACCTACAAGGTTAGGCAAGATGATAGTTTGGAAACTGAGGAAGAGAGCCCACCTTCTCTACTGAAGTAGCTGGAACAGGCTAGGAAACTGACTTGGGGTAAATCATCATCCTTTATTATTATTATTATTATTATTTACTTGAAGAGCTGGGATAGGCCTAGGGGTCAGGTTAGATGGGAGTTATAAACTGGGGAAAGAGAGCACCATCTCCTCTACTAAAGTAGCTAAAACAGGAGTTTAAAAGCAGGGGAAACTGACTTGGGGAAAAGCATCATCCCCTTATTATTTACTTGCTGGGATAGGCCTGGGGTCAGGCTAGTTGGCAAGAGTTCAGTCACTGGTGAAGAGCATCGTCTCATCATTTTACTTCATTGGAAAGTGGAATTTAAATTTGAATATCATTTCTTAATCCGACAGTCTTGAAGTCATTAAGATCAAATCTATGGCGTAAGTCTATAGATCAGCAAAAGCTGCGATGAGAGAATGCGACATCTTTTCATTAGCCACGGCTTTAACTGGTAAACTCAACCTCTAATAACCCACGAATCATAAATACACTAATTTCTTATCATTTTTATGATGATCCTAGTAAGTCCAGAGGGGAAAACATGCAATACAATCTATTTTAAAGATAACCACTCTTTTTTTTTTATCAATGATTTAATAAAGGTTTAAAAATATTTCCCAACTCCTACACATGGTATTGTTTTTGGGTGCTGTTTTTGTACCACAGGATTACATATGGATCTATCTAAGCTTAGAGTAGCTGTTCATTAAGGATTAAAGGTACTAACGAGCACCAAGGATGGATCTTTAACCCTTAGATGGTCTTTCATAAATGCAAAGGTGGCCTTGAGTTTCAGGGAAAAAAAAAAAAAAAAAAACCAGAAAAGTCATGTCAAATATTTATAATAATATTTTACAATCTTTTCCTTGTTTTGGGACTTGATTTTCATTCCTTCATAATTTAAAAATCTTTAAAAAAATATCTTAGGCGGCTTGAACACACTTTTTTTTCCCACAAAAGATGACCACAGGACAGGTACGTAACATAAAGCATACAACATAAGAATCAATAGATTTCATCAGAACATTCTCTCCATTGCCCCACTCCACATTATTACTGCTAGTTTAACGAACGCCGTTTGTGTGAACACTTTGGAATTTTAATCCGTGGAATAGCTTACGCCTGGCGTAAGCCACGCCAGTCTTACGCCGTGTGTGTGAACACAGCCATAGAATAGATACAGCAAAATATTGCCCCAGGGCTTGCGAGTCGCATATCAAACATAACCTTTTAATTAGAGGCCCAAAGCTTTCTCATTTATATCATTTACAGTATAAAAATAAAGTATTTATGTAAAATATATTAATAGTAAAACAAATTATTTTATTTATAAATTGAAAAAAAAATTCTCATGTAGATTTGAAATTATGCATATTAGCAATCTTAAATGTTCATTTAATTGTTTTTATTAGATGGAATGTGCCTTCATATGTTTTTAACTATACATTGAACTTTTCACCATCTTAAAAGGATGAAATAAATAATCTAAGAAACCACACACAACAAAACCCATCCAAGCGGAATAGCTACATGTACCAAGCGATGTTTACCTGAAGTCAGAGGTCAACTTAAACCAAATTCTGCCCTCTGCCTCCAAGACAACTGAAAGGTCACCTGATATAGCACTGCGCAGCAGTTAACTAACAACTCTCCGTTGGGATACTACATGCTCGGTTTGAAGTATCTGTCACCCTTAGGTAAGTATGTCATTGGCTAAAAACATTTTCCACCAAGTTGGTAAAGTTATCCCTTCGGCTAATGAGCGGAATACTCACTCTTAGCTATGGCTTACGAAGATAACCAACATATAAATCACATCATGTTATGGTAGTTGATAATATCCAACTTAAATAAATGTCAAAATATTCAAAATCAATTTTCTACTATACATCAGCTGTTAATAAATTTCAGATTGAAAGGAATTTTTTAATTGATATTTTTTCTCCTATCCGTCAGAAAGGTAATATATAACTTGGAGGAGATGAGTATGAAGACGTTTCATTTTAATTTCTATTAAGAAACGAACAGAATATGAATCATATTTTTAAGCAATCGCATCAAATGTGAA